ACTGTGCTCTCTCGAATCGAAGTTCTTTCCCCTCTGCGCGACCCACATCACCCCTTATTCTGCTGTCTGCCTCTCATACCTCTCTGCAGCATAGACAGCAAAGAGCAAGAAGATCCGCACTTTCTGTATTTTGGGCGATATTTCATTCCTTTTTCCTCACTTGCGGTCCACCTCGCAGGCCTACTACTTTCGTATTCGAGTGGGATCACCACATCAAAATCGTGACTCTGACATTTTCGGTAACTTTGGAGAAACTTTGCTAAACTAAAGCACAGTGACCATATGTGAACCCCTTACAGTTAATGTTATGGCGTACCTATAGAATAACTGCAAACGATTTGAAAAGAAATCGTGCAAGCGCGGAAACGACATGATGGATGGGACGCGCGTTTGTGCCACAGCGTCCCACGTGGCCCGCCAAACGAAACGCGGAAGCGCATCACGCTGTTGTCAATGTCTCAAGGAGCAGGTACTAATGCATAAAGTGGCGTAGCTATGTAAGCTGTACTTGTTGAAGGTTTCTAGATAGGAACGTACGGTGGAAACTGTTGATGGTTCTGTTGTGGTCGAAATTAGTCTTGTAGTCGTTGTTGGAAATGGGCATGTTGTCAACTGCTCGTTCTGACAGTCATTCGCACCCTCGGCACCGCACGGTCGAATGCATTTCTGAACTCAAACAGCTGTGGATTCGTACTCCAGGAAACTCAGTACTGTTCAACCAGCCAGCTAAAAGTGATTTTAGAAAGTTTCACAATAGAAACGCACGTCTAGTTTGGTGATGCAGTTATAACCAGGCACGATAAAGAGGCGTTGGGTATATGATGAGTAGTATTGATACATCATGTCTTGGGTGATTCCGGTATTGCCGAGAGCGATCACAGTGAACGTAATGCAACCGTAATTGACGATATTCGCCACATCCTGCAACAGTATGTACTTAGGCACGAAGAGTCTTTGTTTGTGACGATCTCAAGATCAACGAACCTTTCCAAGCATTTCCTGATCGGTGACGAATATTCGATTTGTTAGCAGCACTATGGTATTGTAGAGACACTTTGTGCTTGGCTGAGCGAACTGTTTCATCTGAAGCACTCTTCCTCATTAATTGATTGATTTCTTTTCTAACTCTTCACGCTAACTTAGTCTTCACAGTGGAAAAAGGGTAACCGCTCACAATCAGATAGACAGAAATTCTTTTAGTACTGAGTCTGAAAAAATAAGAAATATTGATACTCTTGCAGACCATTGTAAATATGTAACTCTATGCAACATGTGAAGCTCCGGTGGCCAAAGAACAGCGGCACATTAAGGACACAACTCAGCTGGTGTTGTCTGGTGTTTGCCAGTGTCCTGCTTTTTCGCTGACTAACCGCCTGAATGCGGTAGTTGACTTTCTTCGCGCCTTCACTAGTGGTGCCAATTCCGCGTCCTCCCTCAGAGTTTTCCGAAGCGGACAGTAACCAGCGTACCACCAGTACCTAGCATTTGCTCGGGAGGATGAATTCGCGTACACCTCCATGAGCATTCCAGGACTCGTGGCGGTCGATGCCCCGGCCACACCCCACCAACTCTCAGACAAGGAAAATTGGAAGTCCGATCCGCCGACTCATGTTTGGTCAATTCCTTTACACGCCCCCCGTTCTATGGAGGCTCTAGCCTGTACTGGGACACTGTTCATTCAGGGAAGACGTGAGGGACAAAGTGATGGATCTATGACCGGTTCCAAAAAACCATGGCGACCGTCTAAAAGATGGAGAAAAGTCTGTCTCGGCCCTTTGCGGAGTGCGTCGGCCGTTAGCCAAGTAACGATTTAGACATTCAGGAGAAGGACGCACCTTGCATGTCATAGTCCATGTTACGAGAACATGACTGTGCGCTGAACGTAAGCACTTTCCAATTCTCGAACTGAATGCATGACGGTCGTCCTTCTTCTGGAAGTGATGAAGTCAACTGCGTAAGCCGATCGCAACTCCGCGAAAGGCAGACGTTTCTCACAATCTTCATGCCGTACGATCTTCTCAGTTCACATATTTCGTGTAGAGTCCTCTAAAAGCGGACGGGAGATAACGTGCCAGCAATTAAAGTAAGCGCGTAGAGGAAGGGGTGGAATCTCTGAAAGGAGCGTTCGCTGGTCAAGGCTGCTCTAGGTTTCGCATCTGCCGTTCGTCGTCATATGAGTGTCTCTTAAAAAACGATCAGTTCACGCGCCCAGGCTCGGCGGCTGGTGGCGCCATCCGACGGGGCACCTCGGCTTGATAGACCTTTGAAACGCTTGAAACATTGGAAAGAATTATTCGTCAGTTGTTACTCACCAAGCCAACCAGCGCGTAGGTGAAATTCGCCTTGTCCGTCTCGTTCTGTAGCGGTGCCAACGAATCGTAGTTAACGACGTAGTCATCGTAATTCATTAGCTCGATCTGCTGACTGCAGACATCTTCAGCACAGCACACCGTTTGAATCGACTAAACAGCACTGGTACTTGGCTGCTGACGGAACGGTAAATCCGCGTTAAGAACTAGAGAACCTACCGGGTGAGCAGTCGGATAGAATGAAGTGTTCTGTACGCCTATTCCTCTTGTCCATCGCTCCCCGGCCGCGGGCAAACAGCCCGCGCCCGTGGTACCCGTCCGCGCATCGCGGCGATTGGTTGCGCGAGATGGATAGCCAGCGCGGACGTTCATAGGAAGCCGCACCGTCCGGCGTAATTCTCATCGCGAGTCGAAAGAAATCGTAGCAGCGCGATGCCACCCGAGGTCCGTGCTGAGGGCCTGACACGGCAAGACCAGACATTGCCCTGGTCCCTTTTATCGAGTGAAACTTCTGATTGAATTGTTATCGCTAAGACGAGATCCGAAATTTCAGTCTCGTTAGAGGTCATAGGGGTATCCTATCGACAAAAACAGCAAGAGGCAAACAACTCCGACAAGCAAAACGCTCGCGCTACCAGTCTTTCTGAGGAGTTCGGCAGAGTAAGTACGCCAAAAACGGTTGGGATGGGGTTTCTCACTGGCTCGGCGCAAATGGACAACTTTCCCAGGTCAGGGTGTTTTCCGACTGCACTACAAAAAGCTTCAAAACATCAAGCAAAGCCTTGGATTGATTGGAGTTGATCAATGCCATTTTGAGATACGCCATGCGCCCTATTCAAATCCAGAATGGTCGTGGCATTTTGAATATGATTCGGCCTGCATAATGACCTGGGGAACAGATCATGTACATGACATTGTCCTCCCGTACGAGTTTAGTACCAACAATGTGCATCCAGATGGTGGAAGGCTTGGTTGGGCCGAACGGCGCATGATCTAGGACTTATTCCTGCATTGTGAGCGTAGTAAGCGGCTCCACTAGTCCGTACACCTCTTATGCCCCTTCAGTACTTACACAATCAATCAATTGCTACCGAACTTATCTACTGCATCTTACCGTATGGAAGAGGAAAGCGGGAGAATGAAAGTGCTCTGATAATGCTCCCTCGAACACCCGGTAAAAGTCGTGAGTCATTGTATGGGACGAATAAATACACAATCAGGGGTCTAAATGCTCTCGAAAATCATCTCGCAATCAGTTCCTAGTAGTCCTTGAGAGGCTGAATAACATCGGCGTTTGTTTGGTTCAATGCCTATTGCATAAATGAAGAATTAGCTACACCTGCGAGTATGAAGAAATCAGCTTTATGAAGAGACCGAGCGAAAGGAAGCGAACATGAACAGGACGTGCTCGGAAAGCATTCGAAATATGTATCAAAATCTTGATGTCTCAACTGTCAATCAAAATGTCTCACTTTGAATCATGAACTTGCCATGTTGTACAATTCGAGGCACACAGAATGAAGGAGAACTTACGTAGGTCTGAGCTGAACTATTCAGCACAGGTGGAACTTTGATGTTGGCGAAAGCATCATCAGTGCATGTGTCCGATGGCGCCCACGTCGGCGTCGGATCGCTGCCATCAGTTGCTAAAAGTTTGTTTGAGCAAGACTCAGGCATTCGAAGATAGAAAGCCGAAGCCGACTTTCGACTGTTCATCATGTACGGTCGGTGTTTTGATCGATACTTATCTAATCATTTTATTGGAATATCCTACTCTAGTACTATCCTATTTTGGGTCTCCGGACATCTGTCAACCGTGAGGCTAGGCAATTCAGCGTTTTGTTGTGCTGTCTGGGAGCTCTCACACAAGCGCACTATTACAGAATCTCCGCTTTCTTTACCTCCTTTAAAAGGCTTAGTCCCACTACCACAAAGAACGTCTGCTTTTCCTTCTACACTCTCACCCCCTGGTTGACAGAAGCCTTGTAACCCCTATTTTGCCAATCAATGCATATTTTCTTCATAGTCGTCTACGACCTAATCTCAAAATCGCAAACTATAAACGCGGCATTTGTGATCTTATCTCCGGCATTCATGACGTATCGAGGGCGAACTTAAGGTAACTGTTAGGCTCTGTGGACCTTAGGCTGCTGCGGACTTTCCGCATCAAAAAAGGAGGCCTTACAAATTTTTAATTAGGTCTTGAGTAAAGTGACTAGTTCTTCCGTAGCTCTTTACGGTAGAGGGCTGGTTCACTTCAATGTCCGTGGATGATCATCAACAACTAACCACAGAACTGTTCGGATTCTAAGATGGCTGACATCAAACAGTAAAATATAACGCCGCATAGATTCATCGTTCGCAAGCTGCATGAAATAAACGTGAAAATGAGTTATACAATCATGGCCTCTGCCTCCAGATAATAAGCCACAATTGCTTGAATGTCAACATAGCGGTGTAACATACTGACAGAGGAAAGATCTCGATGAATGTAGTGCAGACAGAGAAGCGTTACCAAAGCCCAATAGATAACATTGGCAATACACTTTGCAGACCTTGACCAGACGCATTTTAAAGGATAAGTGCGGAAATCTTAAAGTGAGTCCATCTCAGTAAATATCAAGCGCGCGAAGAGCAGAGCGCTTGCATATTGAAAGAGCGCATGTATTGACCACATAATACCCTGTTCGTTTCGCTAACGGTTTCGTAATATCAAAAAACTGGTAAATGGTCCCCTCACTGGTTCGACCTCCCGCGGCGACTAAGTTATGCAACCAGTGTTGGCGGCCACTTATTGGCTAAAATGCTTCTGACAACGAATATGACATCTGATTCTGATATTTAGCGAGATTCGTCCACCAACACAGAGCCCAACCAAATGCAAAATGTTTAGTCGCCAACAGGCATCGAACCATTAACAGTACCTTATGCTTGTTACTGCTAAAGTCGTTCAGCGAAAATGAAACATGGTTTTGTGTTCATTACATGCGCCATAACAAAATGCGGAAAACTGTTTTGAAAAGGCTTTACTTGCCCTGAAAGACCCCCTTGTTGGGCCTCCGTTTACCAGTTCACTTTAAACTGCCTTTTGATTCGACAGCCATCTCATACGCACATTTGGCTTATTCTATGATCGTTTTTACACAAACTACCAGAAGTGGCTATAGCTCAGAATGATGGAGTTACGGTAGCATGTTGGACATAACTATCATTGCGCATTATCGATTCAGCAATTCATAATGCTAGGAGAAAAGAAAGTTAAAGAGATTAAAAGCGATTAATTTATAGTAAAAATATTCGACAAAAAGAAGCAATAGTAGCTAAAGCATCAGTAGTAAGTGTCACTTGAAAACTATACAGTCATGTTTTGACACGGCCACGTAAGCGTAGCCCTCTATTCCCTGACTGACTCACGCACTCCCGGAACAAAATAGTACATCCTTCGCGAAAATTCCTCTAATTTAAAAGTTTAGGGAGAGACTTGGCAGGCACAATACTTCGCCTGTGTCTCAATTTTTCTCTCATTTCCTTTCTTATATTTCTTTTTGTTATTCTTAAGCATGGTAGAAGCCGGAATACTTCCTAGATATAGATGACTCAACTTCTAACAAAGAGGTACCTTGAGAAGACTGTGTAATGGAAATGGTCATCACATAGGATTTCTGGAAAGTGGAAAAAATCGCATTCGAACATTCTAAGCAGAAAAAAGCAATAGTGCAAAACGTTCCAGCAGGCCTTCGATTGAAACCGTCAGCGTAATCGAAATTGCTACTGATAACAAGCTGACAGAAGTGAGCAAAAGATCAGGAAAAACACCATTATTTCCCATTGCAACCAATGTTTGTCAGCACAATATTTGCAACCAATATTTGTCATGCGAAGAAAAACTAGCTCACATGAGTAAGGAAACTCCACCACTTTAAGGTTTCTAGGAACAATAGAATTCGAATGTGAACCTTTGAGATTTTAAGCAAAATTAGAAATATGAAAAAGGAACGAGTGGTAGAATTCTTCGATCAATGACATGAATTGATCTCGATCTTGTGTGATTACTTTAGACACTATAGGTGAGATAAGGCGCTTGTAGAGTCGTTAATTTTACGATCGCAAAATAATGACAGGCGCCTTTTGAGTCCATTAGATCGACGCCGCGCCCGCCCAGAGCCTGACATAACACACTCGCAGCTCACCATCAGTTAAAGTGGATGGTGTGATATGGACAGATACCGGAGCTGCTCCATTTTACAAAAGATCTCAGGTTTGAGGAGCAAGCTTAAGACGACTCTCACAAAGGGAACTCTTTCTGGGCGAGCCGCGCTTTTTCAAAACGGTTCACAACGAGGTATATGGCGTGCACATGGAGCTGTGGTCCATTCCCACTGAATGGTTCTTCGAATGCCAAGAAGGGGTGAAGAAGTGGTCGATGGTTCGGTCCCCAGCGGTGACAAACTTTTGCTACTACTAGCTATAAAGACAGCTACTGTCTTCCAAAGAGTGGGAACTCGCATGTAAATTTCAATTTCCTCGACAATTTCTCGACGTCTCCCACTCTCGAGAATAGGTGTGCTGTGAAGAATAGTGTAGAATAGCTGTTCTAACTGATCAGCGCTCTGTGTGGCAGCGGACTTTTCCGCTCGAAGGGTGGAACCGACGGCCTCTGAAGACGACGATTCAGTCGAAACGTTAGGCCATTAATAAAGGTTCCACCGAACAACCTCGTAAGGCACAAAGAAATTTAAGCGTTAAACAAACTTGTTGCATTTTCTAATTGACAACATTAAATTGGCACCAAATGACGCCAACGCTAAAAACCTGTGTCATATTTATAAGAGAGGCTACAAAGAACTCTCACAAGTAGGCTTCAAAGAAAACTGCTTAAAATCAGGAG